GTATGTGTGTGTATGTATGTGTGTACGTATGTGTGTGTATGTATGTGTGTACGTATGTGTGTGTATGTATGTGTGTACGTGTGTACGTGTGTATGTATGTGTGTACACATATGTATGTATGTGTGTGTGTATATATATATGTGTGTATATGTATGTATATATGTATGTATATATATATATATATATTAGGTCGCAGTTTCAGAGTGATCCAGATTGAAAGTCACACGATTAATCGTCTCTGAGCTTTTACTGTGGTCTGCTGTCACAGGACGACAACAAGCCGGAAGACGATTCTGTCAACAAGAGGCAGCGAAAGGGCAACCACTACCTCACAGAGGTGGGTTCAACAGGACGTACAATGTGTTCCGGTCGTTTACAAGTCACACTCAGCACTTGGCTCCAATTGATCACACTCTTCTCCTCTCTCCGTGATCTACCAGTTGTCTTGTCACAGTGTGCCCCCTGCTGGGGAGGACGGGGAGCTGCGGGACAACAAGGTGCGCTCCATGACAACTCAGCTGCTGGCCAAGTTTGAGGAGAACTCCTCGACTGCCAAGATACGTAACAAGGTGGGTTTTTTTTAATGACACCCATTCAACTTTCAGACACACAAGTGTTGTGCACATGTGTGTGACACGGAGGGTGAGAGGAGCACATGACTTTTTTGCTTCAGCCCGAGTTGAAGAATTCACTCTCACTACAGCTGACTAACTGGCTTTAGTATGGAAGCAGAGAAAGACCTAAATGCAACTGAATACTTTCTGTTGACATTTAAATCCACTTTATTTATCTTAATGTATGAGCTTTGAGTTCAAGAAGAAGTGTTCTTTCTTTATCTTTTTTTGGGCTACTGAAAATATTTCTTCCTCTTGTATTTTAAGAACATTAATACATTTATTTTTATTCTATAGGGATGATGCAATTTAACATTTCAGACCACTATAAATTCAGACAGATGGTGAAATATGCGTTTAGTTCAGTGGCATTTAAATTTCAGCATTGAGTGTTCAGTAGTGGTTAAGTAGCACCATTAGATATAAGGTTTCTTATAACTTTCAATTAATTATGGCCAATTAGTTGCTTCCATACTTAAGTTCCAATATAGAGTAGATGTAGTAATAGAGCTGTACTGAAAGCACACTGTTTACAGGTGTGTGTCGCTATCGCTTTCTCTTGATTAAATATTTGAGAATCCAACAAAAGCAATAATAATAATGATAATAACTGGAGACCATGTTGAGATGGAATGAGGCGACTCCAAATCGGACCAGATGCATGAAATGGGGGACAAATGGCCCCTTCCCTATTCCTGGCGCCCTTGCTTGGACCACACCCATCTGCCAAAATTTGTATCTCGACTACTCACCTGTTAAGTTTATTTCACTATTTACATTAAGCATATTTGGCACAAAAAAAAATCTTCTGATATTATGGTGTTAGTATGTCAAGGTTAGTGCGCTGCTTTCACAGTAATGTAGCATTTACATCCCAATCACTGCCACTCCATCGACTGCTATTCTTTTGCCGACTTTGTTCAATACCTTCTTTTCCTTTCCTTGCATTCCCTCCCCTTTCCTTTCCTTCCTTCCTTCCTTCCTTTCCCCTCCACCTTGCGTCAGTCTGATGAGGACCCATCCGATCCCTCCTCCTCTCCTCCTCGGTCTCCTTCCATCATGCTGCATCCCCTCTCAGAGGAGGAGGATGAGGAAGACGAGAAGGAGCCTGAGGAGAGGGAAAACCCTCGCTTTGCAAAGCCCAAGAATGTCCCCCCTCCTCCTCTGCCTCCTCCTCGCCCCAAGTGGCAGGTATGCCCCCCCCCCCCCCATCAAGCCAGAAACCTTTTCTTACATCTTTTTCTTAAAGGATCCTTAAGCACCATATCAATATGTAACATTTGTATTTAAACTATAATCCCGTGCTCCTCGTCTTTACTTCCTGTTTCCAGCCCTCCGTCTACCTCCGCCTGCTGGAGAATCCCAGTGCCGTGGCTCAGCAAACCGCTTTGCCCTGCTCCCCCAAATCCTCTCACCCTCCGAGTCGCTCTCCTTCCCCCTCGTGGCCTAAGAGTCCATTGTGTCCCCCCCGCGCACCGAGCCCTAACGTCACTGAACGCTACTACCCAGAACGCACCTCTCCCGACCTGACAACCAGCCGTTTCTCTGCTCCGGACAGTGACCGTTCCTCTGAGAGCTCGATGCAGCAGGTGACCGGCGAGCCAGTTCTGTAAAATATTCTTAATCAACTTTTCTGAAAAAGTAACCCCTCGATTTCTCTCGCCACTCGCTGTCTGTGCAGAGCAAAGCCCAGAGACTCTCTACTGGAGAATACTCTGCAAGGAGTATAAGAGAGCGAGCGGTCCTCCTCTCCTCCATGTTTCCTGGGTCCAGCAGACCTCCTCTCTCTGAATCGCAGGTCGTGTATTCCGCCGACCTCTTTGTGGTGCCGGACTAACGTCACAGTTGAGAGACTGTTGCATGTTCTAATGACAGAGTGCATCTTGTGACGCAATGCATGATGGTTCCATGTTTAACGCTGCAGCACAGTCAGTGTTCCGATTACAATTACTCCTCTGTTCAGAGTTTTCTTTGGTGGGACTGAGACTTTCAGATTGATTATAATAGTGTTGTTACAAAAATGAACACATTTTATGATCTTTATGATATCTTATTGATTTTGAGGAAGTTTTGAATGATGGTACTTGGGGATAACTTCAAAGGAGTTTTTGCTTCTTCTCCGTATGTGCAATTATAGTACATAATTATAAGTATGTATAATTATAGTATGATTATATATAGACTTTTTTTATTTCTTTTAATTTGTTGGTTTGTTAGGTTTAGGCATGAGGAATGAAATAACTAGGGTGAGGGTAGGAACATCAGGGTAAGCCAATCAGAGGCAAGTCATGCATTTGCCGTCCTAGAAAAATAAAAAAATATTGATCACAGTCTGTTGTAATCTCACACTTGTGGTGACTGTGGCTCAGTGGTAGAGCAGGGTCGTTCTTCAATCAATGTTCGATCCCCGGCTTCACTAGTGCATGTCGATGCGCCCTTGGGCAAGACACCCCAAATTGCTCCCGTAGGCTGTGGCTGTGGTTTCTGAATGTTGTCAGTTCTGATGGGCAGGTGCCAGCTTGCATGGTAGTCCCTACCATCAGTGTATGAATGAGTGTGATTGGGTGAATGATGACATGTGGTGTTAAAGCACTTTGAGTGGTCGGAAAACTAGAAAAGCACTATACAAGTACAGTCCATTTACTTTTACACTCGCACACTGTGCTCGCGAATGATTTATTTTTTACCAACATTTTCTATTTCTAGGGGCAAATGCGATCGACATACTGGCACTTTAGAGCCCTGCTTTTTGAATTTTCTGAACCCTTGAAAAATATGTACAGTATACCCAAAATATAGTTTATGAAATTTAAAGATTTAAATCATTATGGCAATTATTTGCTTCTATATTGTAGAATCTCTGCATATATCTTGTTATCATTCGCTGACTTTGCTGTTTGAGACTCGTCTGTTCAAGAACGTAAGTTAACACTAACCGTAATGTTCGTCCAATTTATCATCCGTAAATGTTGGTGGTGTATTAAAACCCCTGAAAACATGTTACAGTAACTATTCATTACTGAACAAGCAACAGTTAAATGTTGGGAGAGGAAGCATCATTGGGTTTTAATTAGAGTTCAACGCGCAAGTACTTTATGAAAAAATGGATCTGCTTCATCGGGACCGTGTGTGTTTTTGTGTGGTTTAATCTTGAATGGTGCACAGAAATACGTGAAATCACTTTTTATTTTCAAACTGAACCGATTTTGAAACAAAAACAAACTGATTCCAATGCCACTGACTTGTCTGTGTGAAATTCACTTCAGCTTTTTATTTGATGTGATCGAGTTATTTCCTCTTTAGTTTCATCCTTCTGTTCTACTCATTCTCAAATTTACTGTTTGACTCTTCTTCTGTAGGTGGAACTCTCTACCTCTTCACCTCTTTCCTTCTCCCCAACTCCTCCTCCTCCTGCCTCTGTATCTAAGACCTCCATCGTCCATCCCGTAGTCCACCCTATCCCTGACCCCACTGCCCAGGCCGGTTTCTCCTCTGTCCCCCTGTACACTGGTGGACACAAGGAAAAGATACAGAAAGACTCCTCCTCATCTTACACCGACTCTGTTGTTGATTCCTCCACATGTAACAACAAAATATCCGCTGCTGTTTCTTCCACTTGCTTTGACAAGAGTCAGGAGATCTCCCCTCCCGTCTCTGATACCAACTGTGGAAATGAACACAGCAGGTCATCTCCCCATGCACTTACTGTACCGCACAAGGAAAGCTACGAGAGGATTCTTCAGAGTTCTTGGAATATTCTGGAAAGTGAGCAGGACAAGGTCCACAAAACCGCTTGGGAAACATTTGAGAAATTAGCCGAAAACGATCACATGAAGGTAAAGGTTTCATTATTCATATCGTCCAGTACTGATAACTTGCAGATCTCCTGGAAAAGAGTCCTACTCTCAGAGTTTCCTACAAGTGGCGTTACTGAAGAATGGAAGTTACTTAACAAATAAGTCAACATTTGGGTTGAAATAGCAAAGCATGTGGCTTTACTTATATACGGAAGTTACATAACGACTCAAGGTTTAGGTTAAAATAACTACGAAAGTGGCAATGCTTAAGTAAGGAGGTCGCGTAGCAAATAACCCAACGTTTTTAGAAAAGTGGCGTTACTTAGGTATGGACGTTACTTGACAAATAAGAAAACATTGACTTCTGGTTTTACACAGCAAACTTCTCCCGGGTGAAAGTCTAGTGTTTTTAGACACACCCATCCACCGTGACCCCCTCCCTATGTGGACTTTGTTGCTTTTTGTACTACATCACCTGTCCAGTCTCACGATTACATGTATTACAAACAATTCGATTAGGTGGGTTGTATATGAATTAAAGTGCATAACTTTTAGTAGGAACAGACTGTAGAAACATGTACGAGAACAGTCTGTTTTGTATCTGTATCTTTTTTGTTTTCACGTATTTCTGATTTACAGCCTTAGGAAAGGATGGTGTTGGATCAAAAACAGTATATTTATAGGGGTACAGGAAGAACACGGGTTGCTAAACATTCTTGGCATTCCGTTTTCATACGACACATGTAAACTGATCTTCATTCTGGTGTTCATACAGTGCAATGGGAGCTGCGATCTTGAGAACCCTAGAAGAATCACTCAAAAGTCAATTGTTCGCTCCGAGAGTTGTCCGTCTGGAGCTGCTAGTTACATTAAGGAGGTACTAGTCGATGCCTCAGTCTACATTCACTTCCATAAATTCAAAGTAGATCGTGCTTGTTCTGCATTTTCATCCGTCTTCTTTCTAACTTCTGTCTGTGGTTTCCAATTCCTTCTTTTTTTCCCCCTCCCTTCCGACCCTCTGCTCCTGTGTTTCCCCGGCGTAAATGTTAGCGTACAGTCGGAAAGGTATCAACCGCCATAGATGCTAAAGCTCAGAAATTGGCCGTCCTGTATGAGACAGATCACAGGCCCAATGCCACACTGGTAAGATGCATGGGGACATTGCAGAGACAAATCTAACGCAGAGTTCTTTGTTGTTGTTTTTTAAAATGGAAGTTCAGTAAAGTTTCGATGTTAAACTAGCAGTGTGATTTTCAAGTTTTTTCTTTTTTCTATCATGTAACTTTCAGTTTTGAAAAGTTGATTTAAGAAAAAGACTAACAATCTGCCTCTTCAGGCTCTGGTTCCCTGGCCTTGTAGGGCTCCTAAGGCTGAAAGGGTAAATGGGTGCTGTTTGCCTTCATGAGGGCAAAGCAGCTACCATGTTTGCAGGAATGAGAACGCTTCAGTGGACTGGCTGTGTTTGCATATTGCCATTTTATGGACTTCTGCATGTGATTATAGCTAACTTTAAGTCTTGTGTAGCTAAAAGAGGTTAAATGGTGATAAAGAGCTTGATGCCAACATGACAATAATGATGGTAGCGTGTGGATTAAAGTCACATGATTTAAACTCAAGTCTAACTGGCTTGATCTTTGAAGAGGATCAGTTTACACTTGTTTGAATCTAGTGACATGAGACCTTCTGATGCTGATAACCTGATATTTATCTTATATGTTGACTTGAGACTTGCATCTTAAAGGAACAGTTCAATATTTTGGGAAATACATTTATTTGCTTTCTTGCCGAGAGTTAGTTAAAAGCTATGGCCAGCAAATGCTTAGCTTAGCTCAGTTTAGCATAAAGACTTGAATCGTGGGGAAACTTAGAAACCCCTGGAAGAAGGCCGGGCTTTCAAGCAAATTTCCGTAGTCGCCAAACCATGAAATTACAACTTTTGGGTCCGTCAGGTGATGCCATTAACTTACATTGAGGAAAAGACGTCTGTAAATCAGCCGATAATTGTTTTACGGTAAATCAACTTCCCAACACCAACACCATAGTCTATATATAACAAGTAGACGTAGTAATGGTGACGTCACCCGTTGGTTTGTGGACTGCAGTTATGAAGCCTCGAGTTCGGCAATTTTGCCGTCATTTTGGAATACGGCCGTCGCCATGTTATGGTTTTTTTGCAACCGATGAACGGAAGTGACCATATTTGGAATGTGGAGGAGTGACGTAGAGACGCCGTAATACAGCTCTGGTAGGTCAATCACAGGAAGCCCGCCCTAAAGCATACTCCGCTTTATGGTCTATTTGACTCCTAAATGGACCATAATTTACTAAATGAACATCATGCTGTATTGAAGATGACTTGAAACTAGAGATTTTGACCATAAACCCATGTTTACCTTGTTTACTGAAGGAATAAATCAAGAGAGAAGTAGAGTCATTTTCTCATAGACTTCTATACAGTCAGACTTCTTTTTGCAACCAGAGGAGTCGTCCCCTGCTGGTCAGTAGAGAGAATGCAAGTTTTACTCGGCAGAACCAGAGGTTGCCGCCTGACTAACACTTAAATAGTCTTTGGGAGGCGGAGTTAAAGGAAAAGCTAGTGAGCTTGCCCAATGGATGTGGAAAATCTTTTATTTTTTTTTACCGTCAGTTGAACTTTCTCGCCACTGGATGGAATGATCGGGGCCCCGCCTCAAACGCTGTATCCAACTCTCTTTATACGTCCATATGGAAACGGCTAGCTTAGCTCTTTTTAAAAGAAAAAACAGTTGGGGTTATACAGCGGGTTATGTGTACTTCCTGAAGTCTCCGATGGTGACGTCAATACTAAAATTAAGCGTCAAATATACGAAAGGGTATCAACGTTTCCCAAAATATCAAACTATTGCTTTAAGACTTGAGACTGACCTTGGCTTCGCGCTACGCCTAAACCGACACCAATCATTAATTACTTAAGTATCCCTGTAACTGTAACTGGGAAAAAATGTACATATTGTTTTATGGCAGAGCTGCTAGCCTGCAGTTATTGTCATAATTCAAGTTGGCAACACCAACTTTTCAGCTATTCATAGAAAAACTGAATCCAATCGATCATTCGCTCACATTTTCTACGATGGGTGCAACTTCTTTTAACAGTTTACCAAATCACCGCTGGTCCATGTGACACATTTGTTTTGCATACTTTAATTGCAGGCATCTCTCCGAAATAATCAACAACCGTAAACAAAGAACAACAAAAAGCAGCATGTAACCATCTCTCCACCCTTGTCCTGGTCTTCTTCCTCCTCTCAGTGTGTGGTACGTAAGGACTTTCCTCCCGGGCTCGGCGGCAGTGACATCTGCCACTTCTGCACCAAGCGGGTATATGTGATGGAGAGGCTGAGCGCCGAGGGCTACTTCTTCCACCGCGAGTGTTTCCGCTGTGAAGTCTGCAACAGCACTCTCCGTCTGGGAGGGCACATCTTCGACTCGCAGGAGGGTGAGTTGGACTCAATGGAACAGTCTATAGATATAGTTAAATCTCTCTGAAACACTAGAGACTTGACTTATTGTCCTTTTTAGGCCTGTTTAAGGCCTGCTGTTGGATGACTTCTTACTTTAAAATAAAAATAAAAACTGAACTTCTTACTGTCTGTGTCGATATCTGATTTCTTTTTTTTCTTTTTTCTTTTACAGCAAAGTTCTACTGCAAGATGCATTATACCCAGCGCCAGTCCAGCACTTGCATGGGAAAGTTCAGAAGGAGAATGGTAAGGAACACTGCTGTGGTCACATGCAAGAAGCAAAACAAAGCTACATTTTAAGAAAAGATTTGTTTTAATGTGTTTGCGTCCAGCCAAACATTTTTGCATCCAAAGAACGTGCCGTCGCTCCTTTACTCGCTTGCTGTCATTCAACCGCTACATAATTAGCTGGCGTGCTGCCACTCGGTTGCAGATTGCTCACTAAGTAATTGCTAAAGGTGTGATATTTCTTGAGCTGCAAATGGGAGTGATCTGTACAGATGCTATTATCCATGACACAGAATCCAGAACAATAATATTTATTCTGTGCCCCACGGTTAAGAAGATACATAATTAATGCTGTATCGGTGGTCACATGGTGGTGCTATTGGTAACCTGTGTGAATGTGTCAGTTGGAAATGGGCGTGGCCAACAATTAAAGGTTTGTTTTGATCCATTCTTTGTGCTCATGAGTAGCCACGTAAAGGCACGAATTGTAACTTATGTGAATCTGTCAAGTAGATGCTAAATTGGCACCAAGTATTGTGTCTTAAATGATTATAGAATCAGTCATTTCATTTTTTTTAAATAAATGTCCATATCTGGACATGTCTTCCAAAGTTGTGTGCAATTCAGTGTTGCATTGTCAAGTTTAATGGTAACTTCTGTATTTTTTGACCTAGTGTATTCTATATATGTAATAGAATGGGTTTCTTCCTGCGTGTCTTGATCCTTTCAGGAAGACCAACGGCGCATCACAACGGACAGCGGGGGCTTTTCGGCAACGGGCGGCATCCTGCTCCAACCCCCAGGTACCCTGGTTTCCTTGCTTAGCCGAGGCCTGAGTTGGCCGCGGCGGGCCAGCCAGGCTGTGTGTGTGTTGCCTCGACGGCTGTTGGGAAGTGTGTGCGATTCTCTGGCGGCCGTGGGGCGCCACGTCAGGAGCCGCTCACACGACTACGTGTTCCTGTACGAGCTGCTGAGCCTGGGCTGGCCTCTGCTGTGCATGATGCACGAGGTGCTGGGACAGATGTCCCAGGAGCCCCAGCTTGCCCGCAGGCAGCTTGTCGGCCACCGGTTCTCATAGAAAAAGGGGCTTATCAGGGCCAGTTGACCTGACTGGAACCCATGGATTTGAATCTGTGCTCTTGTACTGCCCAAAATAATTTTGAGACCAAATACTATCTGTATTTACTACATTCCAAGTGTCCTTGGTCATTTAAGTTTTTTGTGTTTTGAAGTCAAAAGTGTTTTATAAAGTAACTTAGCCATAAAAGTGCTTCACTCGATTAGCTTCTGCTGCTTGTATTCAGTGCCTGGTGTGAATTTTGCCTGCAGTTACAGTGGACAGCACAAGAAAAAGACTGTCATGTAGGTACTCTGGTTATATTGTGTGTTTAAGTGTTAAATCGTACATGCTGGGTCGACTTCAGGGGTGTTGCATGTCTAAAACGCTGGTAACTAGCCCTTGTGGATGTTGACTCTCACGGTCTCCTGGTGCTGCACCCCTGCCGAATGCATCTCCGACTCTCAAGGGCTTGTTTCAGGCTGCTTGGATGATACGTATCAGACACAGTAAGTCTGCTCCAGTCGTTTGGGGGCAACCAATTGGAATGTCACAAAATGTTAAACCCCATTCTGCACTTCAGATTGAGCTTTGAAGTATCTGAGGACATTTAATCGGAGTGGAGTAACCCGGAACAACCCCTCTGACTCTAACCTCGAAAACCATCTGGCCAGTGTGGTTTGGTTTCAGTGAGCTAGAATTATGTCGGAGTGATCCACATGGTTTTCGTTGACTTTGCCTACTGCACCTTAACTCTGCGCCACAGGGATGTGCAATGGAAATTCCAAAACAGTATTACTTTTTTTTTTTTTTTTTGTGTTAGGTAGTATTTCACTTTGCCATGTATTTTGTAAAAGGTATATGACTGATTTCACTTGCAATATTTAGGGCTCATTGTTTACGGTTTTCATTTTATAGGGAAAGAAAATCAGACAAATTATTTTGAATATTTAAAAAACGTAATACACCAATAATACGAAAATCTAATCGTAAAAAACTGGATGAAAGTAAAAGTTCGACCATAAAAAGTTGTTGCGTTTGCTTTTGAAATCAATTTGAAAGTCAGTTTAGACCAGTCTGTCTTTTTGATTAGATCTGGATATTTTCTGAAAACAATTAGTACAAGCCAAAAACCATGAGCCTTATCTATAATCCTACTAGGCTGTCTCTTTTTTTCCTCAGTAGTGAACATATTTGCTTGGTGAAAAAAAAGCCACAAAAGACTGTACACTCCTGTGCGAAAATATTTAGCTTTGTTTGTTTTTTTATTCAAAGTTTTGCACTTCTTTTTTTGTGTCATTTTTGAATATTTTTTGTTCCTCCATATTCTATGTTGTTCATGACCCTGAATATGAATGAATTGTGCAGAATTAAGGGTGAATTCTTAAAATGCACTGTTGAAGTAATGACCTGTTTTTAGTCAGTTCTCACATTTCAATGTCTTCCTATAGTGTTTCCTTTTAATTCTTTGCACTCGGTGTCTCCCCCCCACATCTCCCTCATTTTCTTTTTCCAAATTCATTTTTCTCTGTTGTGTTCACTTCAGTTTGTTCAGTCAGTTTCAAGTTTCCAATGCTGCACCCTCTGATTGGCTGCTTCCTGCCAGTGCGGGAAGGTGATGATTGGCCGGCTTTGGTCATGAGATCTTGTCGTGTTGCTTTTGCATTGGCTGCCCCTGTAGCTCCGCCCCCTTTCACCTGACCCAGATTAACCCATCACAAACCAGCATGTAGAGTATGGCATGCAGTTGTCAGTAAAGGTGTTATGTGTGGCATCGTGATATGTCAAACAGAATTCCAAATGAATTATTATACCTTGGTCAAATTCCAATAAACAAATTGTATTACCTCCTGTTCATCTCTATCTAATGCCACTCATACCTTAAACTCTTTCTCTAAAATGAGACCATGTGCTCTTAAAGGACCAGTGTGTAGGATTAAGAACATAATCTAGTGTAATAACCACCTGAAATAGATAGTTAGCCCTTCATATCTACATAAGGAGCAGGTCCTCTTCCCGGAGTCTGCCATGTTGCCACCGCCATGTTTCTACAGTAGCCCAGAACGGACAAGCCCAACATTTGCTCCAGAGAGGTCCTTTTTTACATTACCAGAGGGCCGCTGTAGTTCTCCGACACGCTTGGAATAGGAGCGGCATTTAGTGGGATGCAATCTGTTTAAAAATAATAATAATTTGTCCCCGATTTAAATCCTTTATTGTGACAAGCTTTAGCTACCAGGTCTGATTTATAAATCGGCTTATGAACAGTTTTATGGCATTAAGGGCGCTAATCTTTCATGGCAAGCTAAAACGTTCAAACTTTGAGTGTAGAGGTCGTTGGAAGCTTGCGGTGTCGGTTGAGTCGATGCACACATAGCACCTTTTTAGTCGGTTTCGTTTGCCGTTCCGTTAGTTTGGTGTCATATCGCCCGACCAAACCCCACTAACACTCATGTTGTGCTGTGTTCCTCCCTAACACCAAACCATCCATTTGAATGCCCCTGGATTTCTGCATTTGATTTCTTTGTGACGTATCATCAGCAGCAGCAGCATCCCCTCCTCTTGTCACACCGGTTTTGACAGTAACAAACGTGTCCACGTTTGTCTGTGGTCTGTCTGTGGTTCCCTTTGTTTCAGAAGGAGGCTTCCCCCGCTCAGAGCCCCTCTCCAGATCCCTCTCCTGCACCTCCTAGACTTTTCTCAGGAGATCAGCACCCCCATAAATAGCGGTTTTTTTTTTTTTTGGCACACTGCCAGACAAATTTGGTTTGGCTGTACATTTGCATAGCTATGTTTCTGAAGTCTTGAAGCAGCCTGCAAGCCTTGTTATTCATTTTCCACATTGATAATTACTGTGAAATTGCTTAATTTATGATATTTATACACTGTAAATATATATATTCAGAAATAAATCCATTTTGATTACATAAATAATTTGCTTCGTGGTTTGTTGCCAATTAGCTGAATTTCAACAATTCCCAAGAAACCCAAGGTTGAGTTACGTGATCGGTCCGTTTTTCTTTTAACCACAAAATTAACAACTTCATCAGAAAGCAAATCCCTTTTCCCCCCCACCTGTTTTTAACTGCCGTAACATCACCCACATAAATCCCAATCACAGCTTTTAACGCATGCTTTGTAATGTCTGACGAACAGCTCGACAGCCTCGTCGGTTTGCAGCGGATTCAGATACGTGGCAGCGGGGTTTATCAGAGGCCTTTAAAAAGCGTCCGCTGCCAAAATAAGTCAATTTAATGTAGTGTGAAAAAATAGACATTAGGCTATATGCAAAAAAAAGCTTGGCCACAATCAAATACTGTTGAGTGAAGTTAAATTAAAGCGTATCAAACTAAATTCAACCTGAACAGAATTGAAGTGAATCACCTGTCTCATGGGTTCTGCTAGTGGGGTCTGCTCTATCCTTCACTCTGGGTTTTTACAGTATCTGTGCATCACCTGGTGAAAGTGTCATTCCAACGTTTAGCCAAACCCCAAAAAGCAAGATGCTTCTCGGCCGATAGGCACACTTTGCCCAAACACTATTGCGTCGGGGTCTTTTCATTTCTTTGCTGTGACCAAGTGGAATCACCTGTGGAAAAGATTCTGTACAATGTTGACTCCGTGACTCTGTGAGTACTGTTATGAACAGGTCATGTAGTGTGTCAGCACGTTTTTACTGTATGAGTGGCTCTTTTGTACGGTATGTGTTCTACTTTCAGGTGCAGAAAACTCTATATATATGCATTACTTTCAATAATATAGAAAGTGAATTAGGTTGTGTTCCCTGCCTTAATATTTGTATGGTACCTGGCATGCTGCACTGATTGTTCTAGATCAGAGGTTTTCAAAGTGGGAGGCGGGGTCTCCGAACGGTTTCAGTAGAGGCTCAGTGAAGGAGAAAAAAAATATTGCACTAGTTATTACATAAGTTATCAAAAGAAGATCACATAAAAAAAAAAGCTTAAATGTGTGTGATTTGGTTAAAGAGAATAGTTTTGGGGGAATTTTACAGTTTTTTTGTTTTTTTTTCAGTTTTCCACAGTCGGAGACTAATAAATAAATAGTAGAGATGCATCGATGCCGATATCGGCCTGATTCCGACTCAAATAGCTCGATTGGGTATCAGTTACTATGGGCTGATAAATATATTTACATCTATGTATTCGTTTGTTACATTTTGTTATACAAAGTTATGAAAGTGATGTTTAAGACAAGCCGGACGTTGCCTTACACGTGGAAGAATGATCCCAGTCACATCCACACAGTGAGGCATACAGTTTATTAATTATTAAACACGGATTGGTACTCGGTATTGGCCGATACCCCAAAGCCCAGGTGTCGCTATCGGGGATGAAAAAGTTAGATCGGTGCATCCCTAATAAATACCTTAAGACAGACTTTTATGTATTCGGTGTCGTCTGAAGTTATATCGAACAGCAGTATTAGGCTATCTTGGCTCAATTGTTGAGTGTCATTGGGATCAAATGACATAAACATGATCCCAAAAACATCTAAGGCGGGGCCAAGCTTTGTCTGAGGGACTTTGAAACCTCCTTGTTTTAGATAATCTAGATCTCAAGAGGTTCGGTATCAGCTAACCAGGCAGAGAGCCTCTATGCATGAAACGAGCTACGTGCCAGTAAATGTTTACCGGGACTTGTGTGCGCGTGTGTTTGTGAGCGTTAATTCCAAACCAGCTCAAAGTTAATGCCTGCATGCTGTTTTTTTTTATTTGCAGGCGCGACGTCCAGCTCTCATTCGGAGCAGCTCGACAAAGGTCAGAGCAGAGTTCCCAAAGACGTGGAGATGGCTGTGGAAGCACTGGATGCTGCCTTTATAGTGACCCCCACAACACAGGATCCTGCAGGGGCCAAGGGCCAGAGCCAGGACGGTACCAAAGGTCAGCACCGTTACTGTATGTAGTCTTAACATTCGAGATCCCGGATACACGCAGCGCTGTAAGAGGTATTCTTAAACATGGTTGAACTTTAAGTGGGTGTGAGATCAGGGTGCGGCTGACATACCGTTGGTTTTCTCCCACACTTAGCTGAATGTTTGTTATTTAAACCTAGTATTAAAAGCTAACACTGCTAACACTATTATATAAAATAAGCTCTGCGTTTTCACTCGCTGGTGTATATTTATATAATCTTGAGTCTCGTCTGCTTTTAGAGCTTATAGAGAAGAAGACTGACAATCCTAATCATAGTACTCGATAGATTTATGTATTGATAGATTCAGAGTCATTCGATTTATGTCCTCTGTGTGTTCACCCAGACATTTTTCCTACCGTAATTACCAGTGATTATATGTACCGTAATGGCTATTGTTGATAAATAAAAATAATAAGAACAACAAATACAGAGCTGTGGGAGGGGGAAAATATTCAGAGAACAAACTGAGAATTTACAAGAAAAGACTTGGATAATCTGTGAGATTAAAGTGTTACATTTACAGAAAGAAAAGAAGAAAACAATTCTCTGTGATTATTAAAACATAAATTTGCGAGAAAGAAACAAAAAATTGTTTTCCTTGTTCACTTCGCTTCACTTTTCAAGGTTCGATCAACTCATCTCATCACACCGTCTGAGTGTGTGATGCATATTTTATGAACATAATGCTGACATTGTTATGCATTGTAATGCATTGTACTTTATCTTCATGTTGACCTGTTACCACAGCGTTTAACGGTGGTATCTGTGGTGTGGTGAGGTTGATCTAACCTTACAAAGTGGAGGTTTTTCTTGTACTTTTTTATACATTTTTAATACAACTTTAATCACGTAACTTTTGCTTTTTTTGTTGAGTATAACCCCTTCACCAAATCCACAATTTATTTTTATTT